TTAAGCACACTTTTTAAAAGACAACATAGAATGTATAGAAACAAGGGGTTGGGGGTCTCATGCTCATTTCCACAATACGGGTAATTAGGTTGGCTGGTTTTAAAAGGGCCAGGACGCCGCTCAGGACAGCGATGGTCCACGGGCCCTCTGTAATGGGACTGATTCACTGTTCCAATGTGGGTCTGTTTTTTTGTTTTTACTTTTTATTAAAAAATATAAATAAAATGGCACTGCAGGCCCGGGCAGGAAGGACTCTGCAGGACTCTGTCTTCGCACAACGGCTTCTTGGAGGCTACTGTCAGAAAACATCACAAACTAGCAGGATGACAGACCACGCAGATGTCGGCTGGGCGGCTCGCGTCCACCCCGCCCCTGGGGGCTTCAAATTTTCTCAGAACTTAAGGGCTCTCGAGCTTCCATCCGAAAACTGCCACACATCTTGAGCTCTCTGGGTACTACGCCGAATGGGGGTGTGTGAAGAACCTAGAAAGAGGTTGGAGACAGAGGAGGGGAAAAAAAAAAGTACAGGTGTGACTTGGCCCAGTGATTTTCTGTTCTCTAACTAGCTTTTTAAAACTATAACTTAAATCCACCACAGGTTGAGCCACTGGCATCTTAAACATGATTTCAAACTCAGTCCCCTCCCGCCACATCTCTGACCTCTGAGTGCCTTTCCCATGCCTCCCTCCCTGCCTTCCCCCGCCAGGGACCCAGACCCGCTACCCGCTCATATGATAGTCCTAATAAACTGGGGACACACCTGGAAGGAAACACTTTCCCTTACGACTGAGAAAACTGAGTAGGAAACAGTCCTTTGGTTGAGGAGAACAGGGGAGGGAGGGGGGCAGGGGGACATTTCCTTAAAATAATAATAAAATTATAAAGAAACAGAAACTCAAAATTGATGTAAAAGCAGCACAACGAAAACATGAAATGTCATCAAGTTCAACGTCAAAGCAGCCAACGATTTACAAGAGGCGAACAAATCTCTGAAGAGGAAACCAGAACCCAAAATAGTTGCTCCCAAATTGCACCAAAAACTGCCTGTAGTTTCTTTCAAACATGCAGTTTTCTTTTCCTTTTTTTCTTTTTGGTAAGGGGGAAAGGCAATGGTGAAGGGAAGAAGGGAGTGGTTATTTTCCTCCGGGGTTCCTCCCTTGCTGTGTACATTGACTTGAAGCAGCAGAACTGGGAGTCCGGATGTGCCGAGGAAGAGGGCTACCACTGTGGCATTCCAGGGCTCGTTGCCATGGCGACCCGAAGCAGGGGCCTGGGGCCTCCTCTTCCCCGACTTGGCGCCGCAGGAGGCCCAGGGTCTGGAGCTCAGCTGCTCTCCCGAATTCCCCCTGCGCAGTGGAGACCCGGACTGAGGGGCCTCCTGTGTCCAGGTGGGTTCTGGGGAACCCCGTTCCCAGTCCAGCCCTGTCACTGTCGTTGAGGCCCCTCTAGCTGATACCCCCATCAAACCCCTTTGTCCGACCTGCTACCAGTACTGAAAAACCTAACAGACAAAATACAGCCTGGGCATGTACCCCGCTCACCGTTATTGAAAAGCACAGCACAACCCCCTATGGGTTTGGGGGTGGGGGAGTGGATGCTGCGTTAGAGGATTGACTTTGGGGAAATCGTTTAATTTGCCTTTTCTGCTGAATCACAAGGACCTGATATCCGCTCCCTTTAAGTAGTCTTTGCCACTTTACAGAAAGAAAAAACAGTATTTGGATCAACCATTGGAGTTGTGTTCAGGCAAGTTTCAGTTCTTAAGTACAATGACCCACGTGAACTGAATTGGTCTCCTTTCCCGTTTGAAAGGGAGGAATTAATTGCATCCCATGACCATAGATGACACTGGGAAACAGAGAGAGAGAGAGAAACAGACCCATCCCCCTAAAGGCTGATTCACTGGCCATGTGTTGTACTAAATGAAACAGAGGGCTAATGGGATAACAAGATGACAGCAAGCAAAAGCGCACACCCAACAACCCATGTCTACCATTTGCAGCTATAGCAGCCCTGAAATAAATGTACATAATCCCAATTCTGGCTATGTGTCCTGATGTCCATTTCTCTAAACATGGGTTCATTTATTCTTAACTGGGAAAGCTGCAGGGCCTTAGGAGACACTTAGGAAAATTTGCTAAGTGCCTCATGCCTTTTTAAAAAGTTAACAGTCTTTTAAAGAACATTTTTCCAAGCAGGTTTAAAGAACACTGCCAATCCCATCCTCACACTGGCAAAACTCCCACATTTCTTTTTTTTTTTTTTTTAATGGGAAGTTGTCTGAAAAAAGAAAAGAGAATGGGATGGGTACATTCTTGAACACACCAGGCCCGGGAACGATGGAGTAACAGAATCATAATGAAGAACACACGACTACAACACAGTCATAAGAAATCATGTTTGTGTGTGCGTACAGAGGGCGAAAGAGGTTTAAAAAAAAAAAAAAAGAAAACACCGTATTTCCTCCCTCATGCTCTGAGAGTAAAGTGTTCAAAGCAGGACAGGATGGGGCCTGAGGCTCCTCAACTCCTTTTCAGGAAAGCCTGAAATATCCCAGTACCTTTTAACAAACTTTTAGTGTCTGCGAATAAACCACCTCATTTCCTTATTGCTCCAAATGAAATGATATCTGACCCCCACTGCCACTTCCTTTCAAATTCTCACTTCAAGCATTATGAACATATACAGTACGTACTCATTACATACACAAAAATGGTATTTAAATAAACAGTTCTATCACAGAAGGCCCTGGGAAAAATTCAACTACTTCACACTTCCTGCCAAGGCTGGTACAAATGAAGAACCAAGTGTTCACCCCACTTCTTAGCCACCTTTAAAATGTATTGGCTTCAGTCCTTTTGTAGGTCCTAAACAAAGAGAAGATGGGAAACGGTCTCAGGATAGAAGTAGTCCATGCACTGGAAGGGTTTCTAAGTTAAAATCTGTGAGAAGTAGTATTTGCTGTCCTCCTGTTTATTAAGTTGTTCTCCAAATGAAGATAGAAGGGAACATTTAAGCGTTAAGAGTTCACGTATGTAGAGGACATTGCATCAACACCTCAGGGGTAGCACATAAACTGGAGAATTCTGAAAAACGTTAATATCCTTCGTATTTCCTCATTTAAAAAAATATCATGAATTTATCCTCAGTTGGAAATGTTTTTTGTTATTTTGCATTAAGATTTTTAATTTTGGGGTTCCGGATACAGGTGCCATTTTTAAGTTACATTCCTGTTGCCTAGGTTTTCAGGCTCCTATTGTTCACTGAGCTTCAGAAATAAGATTTTATGAGAGGGCTTCAATAAGTCAGAAGACTAAGTACCCTGAAGAACGTATCTCCGGTAAATTTATTTAACTTCGGGACCATGTAAATCAAACATAATCCGTGATTTATCACCAGATGCTTGCACCCCTCCCCATTCCCCATTTAAGAAATTTGAACATACAAGTAAGTATACAGTATCCACCATTAATTCTGTCTGTCAGGATGCAAAACCTAATTATGCTAAGAGCATCATATACTGAAAAATTAAAACGAACACTGTATACAAAACCTGCACAGCTGCACTCATAGCTCCTAATAAAAGAGTAATAGGGGACACACAGCGGTTTTATGGACATTTAATATGGTGGAGCAGAAGTCACCACATCTAAAACTGGCATGGCCCTGGGGAATATTTCTATCTTGCATAGTATTCTGGATTCAGTTGTGAAGTAACCTAATTCAAAACACAAATATCGCCTCTCAGTTCACTGCCAATTACCAAGTCCTGCAAGATACGTCCATCTCATCCCAGCTCCTATACCCAGCCCCAAATCCTCTCGTATGGGATTCCTCTCTGCCTTCACTCCTTGCTTCCCACCCAAACTGGCTTTAAAAAAATATACCTACTTTCTGTGTATTTTAAAAGGATAAAACTATTCTTGCCTCAGATAAAAGGCATTACATGAAAAGGCCACCTCACAGGCACCAGGGCATAAGACCTAAGCAACAAAAATGCTACCACAAGAAGACAACAGAACAGCTTTTGTTTTGGTTTTTACAAAAAGAAGAACAACGTTGTAACCATTCATCTACACTGGGAACAGGGAGACAGTATCACAGAAGTATGTGTTTTAATAAAGCAAATAGATGCTGCAGCATGCAGTATTTGTAAAACTGACAACACAGATTTCTAAGGAGGGGTTTTATAAGGGACCTAACCTGCTTTCCAAAGACTATGTTTCATTTCATAAATCTGTTGGTTGGGCAAAGGATCACTGAAGGGTATTCCCCCCGCCCCCCCCCCCGCCATTTGCTATCAGCCAGGAACACACTATAAAAACACCCAAAAGATCTGTCCCATCTCTGGTCCCTAGGACCTCAGAAGCACAAGGCAAACCACCATCCATCTCAGGAAATCAGTGGCTGATTCCAGAGATTTGCCACATCTGGCTAAACTACTGGTTACTTTCTCTCTCTCTCTCTCTCTCTTTCTCTCTCGTTAACCTGATGCTTTTGTTTCTGGATTTTTATGGGGAGGGTGGGGTTATTTTTGGTATGAAGAAAGACTCATATGGAAACGAAAGAGCTGATTTTTTACATTATGTTCTAAGAAAGGGCAGGGAAGGGAGAATAGAAAAGAACTTTCAGACAACAAGAACAGCAAAAAATCCAAAGGAAATAAAAGTTTAAGATGCTATTACCAGTAAATTTTTCATTTATATCTGAATAGATTATCATTAAGAGATCAAGGGAAAGTTTTTAACATCAGACTGAAAACACTTTCCATTTCTTGAAAATTATTCTAGAACTATAAAATCTAAAAACTATTTCCATGTTTTGAGATATGTCTATATTAATAGAGTAGGGTATATATACACCTTAGGGTATAATACACGCATCAAAATGCCCATAGAAATAATCCTGAAAAAGACTGACTGGCCTTCTCTTAAAACCTGTTATTTTCTTGAAAGTAATTTACAGAGTGTGTCAAATGAGGACACAAGAAGCTTACGTTGTGTACTTTAATTTTTTTTATTTTTTTCAATAAAGGGACAAAATGGGTGTATGAACAGGTTAATGCAGACAACTGCCAAAAAAACACAGACAGTGGTTTTTCCAATAGAACTTAACAAAGACCAGAAACAAATACAATAAAAAGCCAGGTTGTAATGACCTTTGGTCATCCAAATAAAAAAAAATAAAAACAAAGAAAAATAAAAGATCAAATTAAGTGCCTCTGTTTTGAACAGGGCACGTAAGCAATAATAAATAGTGACTCCCATAGTAAAAGATAAAATTTCAAGTTACGACAAACAGCTTTCATTACAGGAATAGAAAAGGCCAATAACAAAATATTCTGCATTGCCATTTACAAAAAAGTATTGACTAAAGCGGGCTTTCTCTTTAATATGCTTTGCATATGAAATTCTCTCCAATCTAAATATAAAGCACCATTTAGTTTTTGGCAATGAAAAAAACTGCAAAACATTGTTTTTGTTTTTTTTTTTCCTTTTTTTTTCTTTCTTTCTTTTACTGCGTATGAAGGTAAGATGCTGGAATGTAGGGTGATAGAAGGAAAGGGACAAAAAGCACACTACATAACAAACCAACGTTATTAGCTTGCAGTACTGCATACAGTATGGCAGCAGGAAAAAGGAACAAAAAAGGATATGTACAACCCCTATGACAGCCATCCGTGTGACATTCTAGCAGGCTCCCCCAAACCGCCATTATATGGCTTCTCATCTGTACAATGTCACACTTTTTTGTTTGTCTCTTTTTGTTTTTTGAAGCATACAAATAATTTGCACTATATTATCCTGCCAAATTAAAAAAATATACTGTGGCAGCCTGTCTTTTTTTTTTTTCCACTACCAAAAAAGGTACATTGATACCTTTTAAGAGAACAAGCAACAGTTAAAAATACAAGCTTCAATATAAATACTATAGTGCCTAACACTAGATGAACATTTAATTCAAATACCATTCTAGAAATACAGAAAAAAGACCATAAATGTGTTTTAGCATAGGAATCAACATGAGTGTGCATTTTCCTATATTTAAGTACTATATAATCTTAAACCTTTCCCCAATGTATGTTTTTTTACAACCTGAAGAGCGGTGTGTATCCAAGGCATAGAATTTCCACTACCATTTTTAAATGGATAACAAGTCTTGTAACACCACCAAGACAATGGAACCCTAAAATGCAGTTCCCCCCTAAACATAATGAAGTGTTTTTTAAAAAAATTTTTTTCTTAACATTTATATTTAAAAAAGTTTTGTACAAAAAAATCCTTGCACTGTAGAAGCGAAAGCAATCATTCATTTCTATGTTAAGTGTATTCTGTTTTCCATTCACAGCGCTTGCAATGTTGAGTCCGAGTAAGTAAGCTCATTAGTCAAGTAAATGGCTGGCAAAGGTTTTTTTTAGTTTTTTTTTTTTAAAAATGCTCATCAATGAGATTGTGTTCAATTTTTTTTTTTCAGCATTCTTGCAACTTTTCCCTTAAGTATAGACCTGTAAACTGGGAAAATTGTACAGTGCACTTAATTGTCCTATCTGAGCAGGTTTATTTTATACTCAACCTCTGTATCTCTGATTAGAGAAAAGATACAGATATTACAGGCAGAGTCAAGTGCTATTTGAACACCAACTGGGGCAGATGCTAGCTTAATAAAAAAGAAAAAATTAAAAAAATAAAATAAAAACAATGAATCCTCTTCCATGTTAACACAAATAGCACACAGTGTATGGAAAAGAAATGAAGTACAACTTTTAGGGAGCACAGACATATATACTGCTACTCTTAAAATTCTTTCTCTTCTTTTTTAAGAATGTCACATTTAAACACAAGTCTTAAGAATTCATAGTTAATCATCATTGTGTCAATATTAGCTTATACACCTGTTCTAGTTTAAAATGGCAAATAGTACCACATTGTGCTAAAAGATCACATATTTTTTTTTCCTGTTACCCTCTGTCAAACCTTATTGTCAGTCTCTTCTTTTTAATATGGTCTACGAGGTCTTATTAAAGTTTATCATTTGATTGTCCCTTTGACAACCAAGTAGATCTGGATCTATTTCTTTTGGTGCCAGAATTTTTTTAGACAGACATTATTTAAAACAAGTTATCTTCATAAAATGAATTCCTTACTAATGCATTTAATTGTATTCCAGGGCTTTTGCACGTTTCACATTCAATTTAATCATTTAAAAAAAATAAAACTTTGGGCAAAACAGCCCATTTCTTTTAAGCTCTCACCAGGAGCAAAATAGCATTTATACTGGTATAATCAGTTTTGCTTATAAGATTAAAACTAAAGGGAAAATGATGATTAACTAGGACATAATGGGTCATATTTTTAGGTAGCCATTGTTGTGAGAAATACAATATAGAATTATATGCTAGGTCCTAAGGTTTCTTACCTCACCCAATGCTGAATTAAGCTACAAGTTTATAACAAGTAGAAAGAACCATCAACGTGGTTTTAACAGATCCAAGGCACTCATATTTTAAAACCAAATGATAGAATAAGCTTGTTTTGTTTTTCTGTTAATTTGTCAATTCAAGGCCTTTTTTTCCTCTCCAATTGATACATTTAACCCTTTAGAGACAGACATTTAGCTCATAGAGATTTTGTTTCAGTGCTGTCTACTCTGTCTATAGAGGGTTAACCCAAAGACTGTTTTTCCTCCTCACGTTATAAAATAAAACTGTACATGATATGTATTACAGAATGTATGCAGCATGGTCTTTTTCTCTCTCTCTCTCTTTTTCTCTCAGAACGGAACTGGAAACAGCAACATGTTTGCTCAGCAACGAATCGGGGACAATTTAAAATAGCCATAACATACCATACATGCTGTCTAAGTTTAAAAAAAAAAAAAAAACATACACAACATGTAAATTATTGCACAAGAGAAAGGCTCAAAGTTTGCGTAAAATGCAATAGTATTGCCCCATACAGATCATGCATTCAAACGGTGAGAACATAAAGGAAAAAAAGAAAAAGAAAAAAGAAAAAGAAAAAAAAAACAGGTGTGCTGGTGACAAGCACTCTCATATTCTTAGCTTCCGTTACTTCTGTTTGTTTGTTTGTTTAATCACATGGGACTAGAAAAAAATCCTACGGGGGAGTGGGGCTGGAGGGCGATGGGGGAGGGGTGGTGGTGAAAAAAGGAAGTGTCAGGTGGGAGTGAGGGAGGGGTATTAATATACCTCTATTCAGTTTTTATATCATTATTCAACACTCGATCACTGTGCCATTTTTTCATGTGTTTCTCCAGGGTACTGTACACGCTAAAAGGCATCTTACAAATTTCACATTTGTAAACGTCCTTCCCCACCTGGCCATGCGTTTTCATGTGCCTGGTGAGCTTGCTACTCTGGGCACAGGCATAGTTGCACAGCTCGCATTTATAAGGCCTTTCGCCCGTGTGGCTTCTCCTGTGGACAGTGAGATTGCTACAGTTCTTGAAGACTTTCCCACAGTACTCACAAGTGTCGCTGCGTCTGCCCTCTTTTGAGCTGGGCCTGCCCGGGCCCGGACCACTAATATGGGGCGTGCTCCCTCCACTTCCCGTGCCGCTGCGCCCCGAGATCCCTCCGTCCAGCTCCCCGGGCGGCGTGGAGAAGCGCAAGCTCCCGTTCTCCGAGGAGTGCTCCGACGAGGAGGCGAAAGGCGATTGTCTGGAGTCTCCGAAGCTAAGGAAGGGATCTTTGAGCTGCCTGGAGGCCGCGTAGCCAGCGAGCCACTGCGAGTACACGTTCTCCGTGTTGGGCATCGCGGCCGGGGGCAAGTCGAACTCCTTCTCGAGCTTGATGCGCTTGGAGAAGGGGCTCAGCGAGCTGGGGCTGCCCAGCAGCAGCTTTTTGGACAGGCCCCCCGAGGCCGACTCACCCGGGGAGCAGCCGCGGCCGTTAACAGTGCCATCGTCTATGCGGTCCGACTCGCCGGCCACCGAGTCTTCGTCGCAAGTGTCCCTGTGGCCCTCGGCCTCGGCCAGGTGGCCGCGCTTATGTTTCTCGCCCAGGACCTGGTGGAAGGCCTCGCTGAAGTGCTGCATGGAGCTGAGCACCATGCCCTGCATGACATCAGGCAGGGCGCGGCCCTCGTCGCCCACGCCCACCACCGCGCCCCGCGAGCTGTTCTCGTGGTGGCGCGCCGCCTCCAGGCTCAGCCCGAAGCCGTAGTCCACCCTCTCGCTCTCCGTCAGCTCCTCCTCCTCCTCTTCCTCCTCTTCTTCCTCTTCCTCGTCGTCCTCCTCTTCCTCCTCGTCCCCATTCTCTGGGATCAGGTTGGGGTCGTTCTCGCTCTTGAACTTGGCCACCACAGACTTGAGCGCGCTGCTGGCGCTGCCCACCAGGTCGCTGGTGCCGGGTTCCGGGGAGCTGGCGGTGGAGAGGCCGTCGTCGGACTTGACCGTCATAGGGGACGACTTGTGCATGTGCGTCTTCATGTGGCGCTTCAGCTTGCTGGCCTGCGTGCACGCGTGGTCGCACAGGTTGCACTTGTAGGGCTTCTCGCCCGTGTGGCTGCGCCGGTGCACCACAAGGTTGCTCTGAAATTTGAACGTCTTGCCGCAGAACTCGCATGACTTGGACTTGACCGGGGGCTGGGAGGGAGGAGGGGCAGATTGCAGAGGAGGGAGGGGGGGCGTCGCCAGGAAGGGCGGCTTGCTACCTGGCTGGAATGGTTGCAGTAACCTTTGCATAGGGCTGGGCCGGCCTGGGGACAGCGGTGGGCTAGACGTGTTCCCTGCCAGCTCTCTAAGTCTCCTAGAGAAATCCATGGCGGGAGGCTCCATAGCCATTGGATTCAACCGCAGCACCCTGTCAAAGGCACTCGGGTGATGGGTGGCCAGGGCCATCTCTTCTGCCCCCAGGCGCTCTATGCGGTGGGGGTCCAAGTGATGTCTCGGTGGTGGACTAAACAGGGGGGGAGTGGGTGGAAAGCGCCCTTCTGCCAGGCCGGAAGCCTCTCTCGATACTGATCCTGGTATTCTTAGCAGGTTAAAGGGGTTATTGTCTGCAATATGAATCCCATGGAGAGGTGGCTGGGAAGGACATTCTGCACCTAGTCCTGAAGGGATACCAACCCGCGGGGTCAGGGGACTTCCGTGTTCGCTTTCTAAGTAGATTCTTAATCCGTGAGTGTTCTGTGCGTGTTGCAAGAGAAACCATGCACTGGTGAATGGCTGTTTGCAAGTTGTACATGTGTAGCTGCTGGGCTCATCTTTACCTGCAAAATAATACAACACCAACATCAATGTTTAATCACAGAGGAGGGCGTTAGCAACTGCTTCTTTATGATTCACCTCCTGCCTTCCCTGCCCCCCCCAGCCCTCAACCCCACAGGCCTAAGCCCTAACTGACCTATTATTGCCCGTGCCTACATTGGTGCCTGGCACGTCTGGTGCCAGGCACATATTGGTGCCCGATAAATAGCTGTCCAGTCAGTCTTTCTGCCATTTCATTCAGTTCTAAGAATTTTAAATCCAATCTCCAAAGCAGAAAAATCTGGACCAAGACAAGCTTAAGAATGAGGATCCCTACATTCTAGGGAAACTCAGCAAACATCTGAGCTTCCCAATCTTTCACCAGCTGTGGTTTGGGGCAAGCGACTTCATCTCTGTGCCTCCATTTCCTCATTTGTTAAGTGAGGGACTTGGACAAGGTAACCTACGGGAAACTTCTCTGCTTCCTAAATCCCATCGTTCTATTCTCCCCTGGGTGGCAGGTGAACTTTCTAAAGAGGCAATCATTTCATAGAGAGATCAAAAAAGAGAAGGTCAACTCATTACAATTCTCTGTGGCCCTAGAGATGCTTTTAATCTTAGCCTGAAACACACCAATTGTTGATATTGTTAAAAATGAGAAGATACCCATAAAATAATTCCGGGAAGAGAAACTAGCAACCTTCTCACATCCCAGCCGGCGTGAGGATCAGCGAGTCCCAATCCTGGTCCCACAACACCCAACGGGGACTCCCATTTTTATCTCAAGGGATGGTGCAAAAAATCTCAAAAGAGAAATTTAATTCGGATTTAACCAACAGGCCGTATCGAATCTTTAGGAGTTGTCCCCCAGTCAAACAAATGCAAGTCTGGAGAAGTTAGGAGGAGTGGCTGGTGCCAACTTAAGCAGACACAGCATCCTAGTTTAAGAACAGTTAAAGCAGCCAGCACCATGACGGGCAGCAGGCTGAGAAATGCTACACTATCCTCCTCCTCATTATTTTGAGAGGCTAACAACGCGAACCAAATTATACAACATCCTGCGCCCTCGGCTGAGCCTCAGCTCCAGTTGAGAAAGAAACAGAAAGATACAGTTCAGCTAGTCAACTCTTTGGCCAGTAGCCAAGCCGTCTGGAGAGGGGCCCTGCTTAAGTCACATTATTTCTCTCTCGCTGAAAAGAACCCGAGAGTGGTAAATGCCACTTTGGCAAAGAGGGGCCAACTTGACTTCACAATCATTCATTTTTGGAGATAGCTAAATTTAAATATATATATACACCAAGGGAGTAACTAACAGTTTACCAGTCAACTACAGCATTAAAAAGGGCACAAATGTTGGTGGCCAAAGGAGAAGGAGGAGAAAAATAGTTAACTTCCCAGGGATTCCAAAAAAGACAGTGTGTAAAACACAAATGAGAAATAAACTTTAGCCTGTCTTTTTAAAAGGGGGACTAGACGAGTCGCTTAAGGCCCCCAGCTAGTATATGTCAGTAACTTTTTTTTTTAAAAGCAAAAAATCCACCATGGAGCTAAAGAGTGGGAATGAGGAAGTAATCAATTATGATTCCTCCATTTAGCAAGTCAGAAAGAAAAGCTGGCAGGGTCTTCTCAGGAGCCCCAAACACTTGCATTCCAAAACAAGCCCGCTTGCTCAAGCACTTGTCTGAATAATGGACTCCCTGCCCTGACCTTGTAATTTACTTTACAATGCATTTATAATCTCCCTCAATGTATCCCACTCCTGGGTAAATCTCTTTAACAAGATTAGATGATAAGATACCAAAATTAGGTTTCCAACATTTGCCTAATGTGGAGGGAGGAAAAAAAAAAAAAAAAGGCAGAAAGATTTTGAAAGAAAATGCTGACATTAGTATCACATTATCTGCCTATTTTTGTTTTCCTCCTCTCTTCAAAGGGAAATAAAAAGCATCATTGGGAGTATTTTCATAAATTTTTTGTTGTTGTTGAACAATGACTGGGGTCCTAAATAGGCAGGAAAAAAACTATCTGGTTCCAACTAATGTGACCCTCCGTGGCTTTCTCCTTTGCCTCCCTAGGACTCTGTGTTATTATCATACATTTAGCCTGACAATCTGAATTGGGTAAGTAAAAAGGAGATTTGTCAGCTGAAACAAGTTCTTAACACTTTCATCAGTCCAAATGCCTTAAAATTGTATCTTAGCTTATAATATTCTATTGAATCCCAGGACTGGACCCATAATTAGCAATGCCGGTTTCGCATGCACTGTGAACGGGATGGTGATTGGCGCGTGCTAAAGTTATATAGCACCGCGTCAGGGAGCGCACCTGTATCCTCTCCAAAAGACTTAAACGAGAAAAGTCTGTCTTATTTTGCTGCTCTGAACCTTCCTAAAATTCTGTTTTCAGAGCCAGTTGATGTGATCACTCTACAGTATATGTTCACGCTATGCTGTTACCTTCCCCTCTCATACATCAGGTCAGAGAAGATGCCATTTCATCTTATGATGAGCACACAACATACAGTTTTCACTATGGCATTTTAGTATCCTATCAACTAGATATTCTAGATCATGAGGGCAGCTAGTGTAATCATAATGTCAATGAGAAGGGCTGTTACGATTGAGACTAAAGATTACATCGAAAGAGCAGCTTTGAAACTGGTAATTATTACTAGTCCACTAATAGCAAATGATGCATTACAGTTTCACCACATAATCTGTGTTTCACTCAGCTCACGCCAGTGCACCATATTATATTACGGCGCTCACAGATTCTCAATTCCTAAACTGCAGTCATCAATAAATGTGTTACTTGCCATAATTTGTGAAATTACTTTGTTCATAACATCTTTGATGGTTTAGAAAGGCCAGAATTGATTTCCTGCGTGGCAAAATTAGGGCTACATTGATTTATTGACGTGTAAAATATAATAATATTCTTCATTTACTCTGACGAAAATCAACTTCTCAATTTGAGAGCCTCATTGGGCATTCACGGGGATTGTTTTGATTTAGAGCAATAAACTGAGACCTGGCCCCAAGTGTAGGAACTCCAGGCATCAAACGGTTAAAATCAGCTATTAGCTCACCTACCGGCTTTTATTTTATTTCTTTTTACTGTATGGGGAGGAATAACCCCATTTTTATGTTATCAGCAATGCCAAAAAGTAATGTGATCTAAGCCTCAGGATTTGGAAGAACAAGGTCTGACACCAGACCCCCTGGCTCTACTATTTACCAGCTTACAGCTCTGAGCCAGTCATGTCATTTCTTTGAACCTTAGGTTTCCTATCTGTAAAGTGAGCATAAAAACAGTACCTGAAAGAATTGTGAGGCTCAGATGACAGACGTATATAAAAGCCATATGTAAACTACCAGGTCCGACGTGAATGTGAGTTTTCATTACTCCCAGGCTTGGTGAGTTAACCTAGCATGATGACTGACCATGTTGTACACCCAGAAGGGCTTCCTGAAGAAGGCTGGAATCCCGAATCCAGGCCTCAGCCCAGGCCAAGGGGAGGCTCTGGCTAGAAGGCAGCAAGAGGGGGCCACATTAGGGCCCACGACTGTGGTCCACCAGCAGGGAAGCCACAAGGTTAAGTGCTAAATGCTCTGCCAGCCAAGGGCAGCCGGTTAAGGCAGCTGAGTGACCTGGAGGTCAGCTTTGCTCGAGAGCTTTCTGGAACTCCACAACCCATTTCCACATACCTTGTCTGGTCACTCCTAAACTGGTCCTGCCAGCGCGGGCACCAGCCAACTGGGCACCCTCCCTTTGCGGGAAGAGGGGGAGAAGACGTGGGCTCTGAATCAGCCTCCTAGTCCCCACCCCTCCAATCCAACTCCCTGCCCTCAGGAGGGTCAGCGGAAGAGGGAGGCCAGCAGCCCCTGGCCACTCAGCTCCACGCTCCTCTCTACTGCCCCACTCCCTTCTTTTCCCTTCCCTCCACGGGTGGCTCTGTTCCCACGGCCCCATGCGGGGCCCCAGGCACCCCCAGCCAAACGCGGAGCGCTCTCCCCACCCAGTCAGCATGTAGGGACTCGAAACCAAGAGTCCAACCCCCTAAACTCTCTACAATCTGTGACCTAAGCCAGGTTTAGGCCCAGGTTGGTGTTGGGGAGGGGGTGGCAGAAGAGGTACTTTTTAACCCCTGCACCGCCCAGCCCTCAGGACTTGAGGACTTGTGAAATTCACACAATAACTCTTTGTTGCCTAGGATTACCTAGGAGTTAACAAAACAAACAACTGGCTTTCAAATTTGGTCTCAGGGAGCATGCCCTGCCCTGCAGACACCATTCACAAGATGGTGAGGTCTACTTGACCTCTCCCGCCTAAAAACCAGTCCCCTCTCTAGCTGAACACCTGCATCTTGTTCTTTTCTTTCCGTGACACTTTCCCTTTCTTTTCTTCTTTCCACAGCAGGTTAGTTTTCACATACTTTCAAAATAAACATACATTCCTTAAATAAAAATTCGATGCCAGACTTCCTTTTTTTCTGGAAGCTGCTTTTTCGTGTTTGGGGTAGAATCAACCCCCACCCCCATCCGACTCTGTAGCCGTGCATGACTCATATTATCTGTTACTACATAGAAGAGCAAACTGTATTACCTTCTAGAACAACGTCTTTCAAACACATTTTCACGAACATACAAATCTACATTTCATAAGCATTTCCCCACCATAAAAGTTGGTTTGAACAAGTACTTGGATGGTGTTAATGGTAGTGGTGGGGTGGCGGTGGAATCTTTGAATTTAAGCAACAATGCTGTGCATTTTTCTCTAAAACTAGGAGAAAAATAAGGAGAAATTATATATGTATGCACATATATAATGCACCATGTATATATACAAATATACCATGTTTCAGTACACACGTAAATGCATATACAACATGCATGAGAACAACTCTAGAGTAACTCTAAACTGACTTCTTTTGGTTCTGGCCTCTGCTAACACGTACGCCATGGAATAAACTCGAAGTCCTAAATGAGGCCATGCAAGTGAATGTCCAGCAATAAAATGGGCCCTGAACACACAGATGGTATATGGTCACCAGCCGTGGAGCCAGATAAGACCCTGGGGCGAAGACCCCCCCCTCCCCCCAGGGATGAGCTGCTGTCAGCTCCATGTCTTCAGTGAGGAAAGAAACAAAAAAGGGGAGGGAAAAAGAGGAGGGGGTCGAGTGGAGTGGGGGAGAGGGTGCCAAGTGAGTAATGGAATAATGCAGATGAGGATGCCAATCTATTTTGGAAGTAACTCCTTCCAGCACTTAAAAAGTAAGGGTAATTTCCAGAAACTCTCAACTTTATACACATGGACATTTGTAGAAAAAATAATGCTCAACTTACAAATACCCTGCGGGGCATATTCTGCACTCATCCCGGGCGTGGGGATTAGAGCTCCGTGTGCAGAACGAGGGGAGGACAGGCCCCTCCAGTGCAGAAGTTTATCTGTGAAAGAAACCCAAAATCAAGCACTAAAGCTATAAACAATGTGCATCGTAAACCACAGGATATCACATTTCAATTCCATTAAAATAGATTAACATCATTACAACAGCCTTGCAGATAGTTAACAGGCCCAAGGCCTGTATCAAAAAAACAGTGATGAAGTTATTTCCACACAATTTTGTTTTGTTTTTGATTTTGGTCTTTTTAGACAAAAGAGAAGGGGTTTGTTTTAGTTGGGGGGGTGGTCTTCGGTTCATTTGCTTCTTTGTTATTGTTTATTGTCTTATAATAAGATGTGTATACACAGCAAGGGGAAAATTGGTAATATTAGGGGGTAGACTGGCAAAATGGAGGGGATTTATCTGCAAGGCTGGTTTACACGTATACATTTACTTAACAAGATAAGCCCAAGCAAAAAACAATATATGCAAGTAGGAAATGAGTGGATCTGTGAATCATTTCTTCTAGAATAGAGAGGCCCATTCTGCCTTCCCTGTCCGACTGCTCCTTCTTCCCAAGCTGTACTTATGACAGCACCTTCCGAGACAGGGAAATCGTGGGCTGGGCCACAGTCTGGAATCGGATCAATGGAATACCCCATTTAGACACGGCTTCTTACAACACAAAGCAGTGGAGAATAAAGATTAGACTTCTGGGGTTCAAATAACTTTGGCCAAGTCCACATCTTGAGGGTAAGGAATCCTACTATTACGTGACAAAGAGAGAACCAGCACCCAGAAAAAGTGGCCCACCTTCTCCATTCTCCCGCACTTGGTCTCTCTCTGGTGAGGAGAAATGACTTCTCACACCAGTAAACATAAATCTAGCAGTAAATCAAGCATTTCTAGCACTGAGACTTTTGTGAGAAAGGAAATATTTGGTTTGTGCGACCTGGGGATTATATGGTTTATGTGGTAAGTTCCCAGTTTTTCCAAGTCCACCTTGAGCCAACCGAGCATGGAGAGGTCAACCTTGAGATAGAGTGTAGGATCGATGGAGCAGGAGATACTCAGTATGTTCTAGAGGCTGGGAGGTTGTGATGATTGGGGGAGGAGGGAGAGAAGAAAAACAGACTTTGATGGTGAGTAAACAGAGTATGTTTTCCATTAGCTTAATATTAAGAGCACTTAAAAGTGTTGTTGTTAAACTCTAGGATAGCAGGTCTCAAGTGTAAAATACATCCTGTTCTCCTTATAGAGATTCATGCTGCCAAGAACAGCCAGGGCAGTCAGCACAAGGCTCCCTTTCATGGGGAGCCCGGTGGGTAACAATGGCGTGCGTGGTGCTTGTGCAAGATCTTATACTCGGTTGTTACCAGGCCTGCAAAGGGGGCTGCTCTCAGCGACCATCTCGAGAGGCATATCCTCCGCTCTTACCCCAAACAAAATAAATACCACCGGGCGCCTGGGTGGCTCAGATGGTTAAGCGTCTGCCTTCGGCTCAGGTCATGATCCCAGGGTCCTGGGATGGAGTCCCGCATCGGGCTCCCTGCTCCTTGGGAGCCTGCTTCTCCCTCTGCTTCTCTCTCTCTCTCCCTCTCTTTCTCCCTCTGTCTCTCATGAATAAATAAATAAAAGGTTAAAAAATAAATAAATATATACCACAAAATGGACCCGTGAAAAGTGCAAAGACTGGACTTAAGAAAAATAATAATAAGTATGTCCTCATTCAACTGTTTATATTATAAACAGGGTATTGAGAATAGAGGGTAAAATTAACTATGGATTTAGTCATTGTGTTTTTCAACAAGAAGTCTGAGAACCCATTTTTGTACTTGCTCTTGCCTTAGCCCTTTCCTAAGTTTGCCTTGTGACCAAGATGGAAATATTTTTCTTAGGAGACCCACGCAGCTGAGGTAGCTCTGTGACCCTAGCAGAAATGCAGCAAGGGACCTGGACCCCTGCACAGGGATGGTCTGATTTCAAACTCCCTGCCACTTCCTCTGAGAAGAGCCATGAGGTGCCTTGATAGGCCTCCAGCAAGAAATGGGAGGGCTCTTAGCCTAATCTAGGCCTGACCGCTCGCATTTACCTTCCGTGGGCAAACCTGTCTACAAACTTGTCGGCCCCGAGCAAGCGGAGCTTCCGGGGGCAGCAGCCTGGTTCACTTTTCCACAGGGCCAGGCCACGTGGCAAAGCGAGGGCCAGTATCTGGGTATCTGGCACCATGACCCGGCTTTTGAATTGTAAAAAAACCTTCGAGATCCTCAAGTCTATGCCTTCATTTTACAGATGGGGAAACTGAGGCCTTGAGAAATCAAGTGGCTGGTCCACGGCTATGCTGACGGTTAAAGTGAAGATTGGAATTAGTCTCCTGACTTCCCATCCAGTGCTCCTTTCTGGGATATCCATCTATCTCTTCCCCTGGTTCCTGCCCAAGAAGTGCCAGTGAGGAGGGTTCTCTTTCGCCTGACCCATTAAGAGAAACAACTTCTTGTAACAACCTCTTGGGAGAGAGTCCAACCCAGAGGTGTTGAGTGGGCCTTTCGAAGGATCCAAATAAACAGACTTGGCTTCAAAATTGGAAAACAACACCTGATCTGCTTCCTGAGCCTCTTAGCTGCACCCTCTCCCCAACCCAGACCTCACTGCCTTCACCCTTTACCTCTGCTTCCCCTGCAGAATTGGCCAGCTGAAGAGAGACAAACTGTTCCTATCAGCTTAACAAGCTACTGACACTGTCTTTCCAAGAGACCCATCCTTGCATTTCTCCTCCTCCAGGAAGGGCGTCGAAGCAAAGGCAATGGGGAACCCCAGCTGATTCTGCAGCCTTTCCCACTGAACACATTCCCCTGGTAAGTGGTCGACATTCTCACAGGAACTGGAAATGCTAAATTGTTAATAGCCTCCCTAGGGTTTAACTTTTTGCTGTGATGCTTTCAATTATTTCAACATGTTTTAGGCAAAGTCTCGCAATGAATGCTTCTTAGCATCACACTCAGCGAGCAGCTCTACCTGCCTGAACCACCCCTGGCTGAGGGTCTTTTCTCTTCCCCAGGGAGAGGTGGGCTGGAAAGTGGGCAGTTTGGCTATGCTCTTTTGTTTCCTTGGTGGTACTCTTAGGGCAGTGGTTCTCAAAGTGCAGACCGAGGCCCAGGGAGCCTGTTGGAAATGCAAACTCTCAGGCCCACCTCAGACTTGCTGAATAAAAACCTGGGGCTGGGGGCCATGCAGCAATCTGTGTTTAACAGCTCCTCCAGGTGATGTGTAGGCACAGTTCCAGTTTAATACTGCTGTCTTAGGGCGAGGGGAGGCATGGAAGCTGGAAGCATGTTGCTCTGGCAAAGAGCCAGAATGGCTACAAGATTGTTGTCCCTTCTGCCTGGACTCACCTCCTTCAGAACAGTCAAAACCAGAGCAAGCTTGGGACATAACTAAGAATCCCTTCAAGTGGAATCCCAGGTGCCACCCTTCCTCGTTGACAGGACAGAGAATAGAGCCAAGCCTTCCATCAAACAGGGAATGCTCTTTGCACAAGACAACATCCATACCAGTTTATGTCAGACAGATGGTATCCTCACCACTTCCATAAAAGCTGAAATGTTTGAGACAGCAGCTGTGGCACACGGCATGGATGGAGTAAGAACTGGACTCTGTTTCCTTGTCTGGACTCACAAATGGGATGTGTTGCCCTCTTCTGGATCAGTCTTTTCAAATGCCTGTACTCTTCTGGCAAAAGGTGTTTTAACCTTCTCTGGTTCATAAAGGTCTCGTGAGACCCAGCATTTCCACTTGGGGCCTTGGAAATGCCTTATGCATTATTAAGTTGCAATGTTTCCTTGGGCTGAATAAAAAATAATGAATCTTATTTTTCAGGTCTCATTAAAAATCTGCAAAAATTTGGGAATGGTTTTGATTTAATGTTTTACATTGGTCATTTTACATTTCTATATACAATGGGTACCAACTTTTGATGCAGAGCTCTAGGAGCCCTGTGGGATGTCCCTGGAATTTAAGGTCCTTAAATCAAGTTTTAGGTTTCCTCAAGAACATCTCAAAGACTCCTTTATTACTGACATGCTGTTTGTTTCTGAAATTAATCACTGGGTATGTAACGCAGCCACATTATAGTCTCCTCATCGACAAGTAATACTGCTGTCTACAAATGTGCGGAAACAGCTAAGCACAAAGCATCATTTCCAACACACTTGATGGCTGTTCTGGGTGCTCGACTTTTATCAGGTATTAAATCCCCAGGCCTCTCTAGAAGAGTACACAGATGTATAGATGTTTGAGGTTTACTACAGTGTATATGCATGTATATATATTTCCTTTCTTGAACATATGTTTTTTTTTTAAGATTTTATTTATTTATTTGACAGAGAAAGAGAGACAATACAAGCAGGCGGAGCGGCAGGCCGAGTGAAAGGGAGAAGCAGGCTCCCCACCCAGAAGAGAGACCAGCAGGGGGGTGGGGGGGGCTCCATCCCAGGACCCCGGGATCATGACCTGAGCCAAAGCCAGTCGCTTAACCAACTGAGCCACCCAGGCACCCCTTGAACATGTATTTCTGAAAAACTTCCCTGTTTTTCCAACCAGGTAGGGCACAAAAGGAGTAGGGTTGTCCCCAAGTGGAATGGGTTACCCTAGGAAGCCATAGCGTCCCATTCACTCTGGGTCTTCAAGAAAAGAATGAGTGACAACCCACCATGATGCGGAGGGAATCTCTCTATTAGGTGATGCGCCAAAATAAAGGACCCTGACCCACTGTTCCAGCTCCAAAATTCTCAAATTCCCTCTTTCCCCAGCCAGTAGCCAACTTACAGACTGCCCTCCAAATGCATCCTGAAAGTTTGTACAGTGAGGAACCAATTCCAGTTCTATCAATATTAGTGGATCTATATCACAAAAATAACAACAGTGCAGCCAGTCTGGGACAGAGCCTTCTTTAACCGGAAAGCAAATCCACTAAATGTCTTTCTAGCTCTTGACCCTCCGTTTACAACAGATACCAGCTCCTCTCTCTCAGATTCTGTGATTTGGGGATATGGCTCAGTGGTA